GGTGTCCTGGTAGAGTCCTCCCGGGCGTAGATGTTTTAGCCTTTTTTTTCTTTGTTTTCTTTTAGTTAGTTTTATTTCGACTTTTATTTGTGCATGTGTTAGCCCGAGACTCTGAGTCTGAGTGAAAGTCTTTGTCTGGGTTGCAAAACACCGCCAGCAGGATCCATCACAACGATGGTCTCTCTTATTGTTATAAAATGCGATGCATTTTTCACACTCAAAGTGGTACCCAAATGAAGTACACGGGTATAACAGGGCATAAAAGTGCTCTTGGTGCAAGAGTAAATAGATGTTTTTACACCCCGGGCTGTGCGGGCCTTTGAAGACGCATTCCCCTCCCTTTTGGTCTGTGAAAACACACAAACGAAAAGACGGTATTACGTCTTGCAGTTTTCGAACCTCGTCAAGACCACAAGGGCGAGTGGGATCAATCTGTGCCAAATTACACAAAGCCAGTGCTTTATCTTTCTGGATGTCAGACTTGGGATCTTTCATCCTGTAAAAGGCGTGCTTGCTCATGTTCCCCCTGGCCATGACCACAGCGACACAGCGTGTCAGACACATGGCATCATCAGTGTTAGCAGGAGAAAATATTTTTCTCTCATCCAAGTTGCGCTCTAACCACTGGTCCATGTTCTCATTCGGGACACGTCTCACTCTTCGCCCTCCTGCACGTGGCAGGGGAATATGAACGTAGCTCAACTTGAGCTGTCCATTCATCAAAAATGTCTGGTTTGAGTTCAGGACTCGCTCCAGCTTATCTAAAATGACGCGGCCCGAGAGCTGGTCAGTTCGGCGCATATTGAACCAAAGAGGGTTCTCATGTCAGTGCTGTTGCCACTCTGAATCTCAACGATGACACGATCATCATCAGCGGCGTTCACTGCCTCCCTCTGTCTTTGCAGAACAGAATCAAAGAGAGGCTCCATGAGCTCCCCCGAGGGAAGCGTGTCACCGAGGCCTCGAATGGCCATGACCTCATCGCGAAAAGTTGTACGAAACCGCTTGAGTTCTCGCTCACGGCTCTCCCGCACCTCGAGGGTTGGTTCCTCCTCCTCCTCCTCTGCCAAGGGACGCTTGTCGCCTGGTTGAGGTGAGGGAGAACGGATCCTCGAGGGGCCTGGTTGAGGTGAGGGAGAACGGGGGCGTGAGGGGGCTGGCTCGGGTGAAGGACAACGGGGGCGCGAGGGCCCGGGCTGTGGCTCAGATGGGCGTAGCGGGTTGTGAGCGGTTGACGAACCAGCACCAACCAGCGCCATAGCCACCTTAAATGAACCAAGAGCATGCCTGTTGTTTCCCTTCGAACACCGAATGTGAGCCTCGTATCCTTCCTTCAGGAAATCGAGAAGGCGCGGGTCTTGTAGGTCCTCCGGAGTAGCATCTGCGAGAACTATAAGCATCTCGCAATATGCTTCGTTTAACAGCGCTTGTTCATAAAAACAGCCGCCGTCAAACTCATCCAGAATCGCCCTAACTACAGACATCTTCACAACGGGACTACCTAACACTCATCAATATCAGCTAATGATCGGGTTATTTCTATCGTCCACAGTCTATTACGCTCCTGAACGAGAGAGAAAACCTGTCACATACACGTCAATTGGTACCGTCTGAGACATTTTTGACATTTTAAAATGGTTTATTGGCTTCATTCAATGTTACACTGGTTACAATTGAGCTTGGCTACTGGATTGCAGATTACCTAGTATGGTCTGACTGCAGTTTAGCTTCCTTGCGTGGCATGACAGGCATATAATGCTTACATCGTTTCAGAATGATTGGGTTTGACGTGAGTCAGGAATGATTGTGCCGTTAGGCCATGACAGGGTTTGAGACTCGTTACCACACGGGTCTGTGTTTAGGTGAGGGGTGGGGGGAGGGAATTTACTGCTTGTGCAGGGTTGCTTAATTATTGGGGAAGGTGGCAAGCCTACTGATTTTAGAGACTGGTGTGGGGCCGAATGATTGGTGACTGTATGTGCTAAGGTATGATATAAATTCATTTTACATGGGCTCATAGCCAGTTCTTGCATATAATGTGCTTCCTGATGGTGGCCTCTAGGAGTCGGATGCTTCGCAGAGGTTGTCCATGGGTCCGTGGGGTTGGAGGAGTAGGGAGCCTCCTTCTGCTGGGTGTTGATTGAATTTTGGGGGTTGGTGTCCTGGGTGCTGTGGCTGGGGTGGCGTGGCTGGTCTTGAAGTCCGTCTCTCTGCTAGGCTGGTGGTGGCTGCCGGTCTGGAGGAGTAGGCAGCCTCCTTCTGCTGGTTGCCGATTGAATTTTTGGGGTCGGTGTCCTGGGTGCTGTGGCTGGGGTGGCGTGGCCGGTCTCGATGTCCATCTGTCTGCTGGGCTGGTGGTGGCTGCCGGGCTGGAGGAGTAGGGGGCCTCCTTCTGCTGGTTGCTGATTGTATTGGTGGGGTCGGTGTCCTGGGTGCTGTGGCTGGGGTGGCGTGGCCGGTCTCGATGTCCATCTCTCTGCTGGGCTGGTGGTGGCTGCCGGGCTGATGTAGTTCGTCCGGGGTTTCTGGGTGGTTGGTAGCTGGGTTGCCTCTATTGTTTTGTCCGTCTGTGTTAACCATTGATGGGTTCAAAGGATAGTTTGGTTCTGCGTTTCAGTCCCTGGTAGGTGAGCGAGGCTTCGGTGAAAGTTGCGATGTCTCTCAGGTGGGGTTCTTCCATCGCTTCTGTTTTCTGGAAGAATTTGGTTTGCAGGTCGGTGAGGTGGTCTTTGAGTAGTGGGACTCCAGTTGCCTCATGGATATCCTTTGTGGAGGCATACCGGAGATTCAGCGCGGTGCGTAGACATTTACTTTGGATGGCTTGAAGAGATTTGACTTGGTATTTGGCGAGTTGGGAGATCCAGGCTGGGGCTGCATACGTCAGTATGGGTCTGACGTATGCGAGGTACAGCCGTACTTTCATCTTGCTGGTGAGTGATGACTTTTTGCTCCAGAAGGGGGCCAGTACTTTGGTCGCGGCGGCTGCCTTTCGTCTCAGTTCCTGGACATGGTTTGTCATGCGTAGTCCCTGGTCTATTGTGACCCCAAGTAGCTTGGCTTTGTTGACGTAGGGGATTCTCGTGTTGTTGATTTGTAGTTCTGTGGTCGGTTTGTCTCTTCTTCTTGTGAAGACGATTACTTGGGTTTTGGCCGCATTGATGAGGATTTTGTTCTTGTCCATGTAGCTTGCGGTGTTGGTGAGTTGGCGTTGCATGTACTGCGGAAGTTTCTTTGGACTCCATGACTCTTGGATGAGTGTGGTGTCGTCCGCGTAGACAATGGCTTCTGAGGTGATTTCGTTGAGGTCGTTGATGTAGATTATGAACAGCAGGGGGCCCATGACAGACCCTTGTGGTGTGCCATTGTCCATGGTGCGGGGGCTGCTGGTGGATTCCCCTACTGTGACGGTGAAGGTTCTGCCGGTTAGGTAGTCCCTGACAAGTCTGATCAGGTTTGGTGAAAACTTGTACTTGACCATTTTCTCATAGAGTAGGCTGTGTGAGAGTGTTAGAAAGGCTTCGCTTGCGTCGAGGAGGCTTGCACCGGTAAGGATCCTTTTGTTGATGTTTTTGGCTATTGTATCGATGAGTTTGGTGAGTGCGTGGGTTGTGGAGTGGTGCTGCCTGAACCCAAATTGACATGGGTTGAGGAGCTTTTTCTTGTCCAGGTGTTGGATGAGTCTCTTGTTTATGCATTTTTCATAAGTCTTTCCGAGGGCGGAAAGGAGGCTTATCGGCCGGTGCGATGCTGGTAGGGATAGGTCCTTCCCTGGCTTCGGTATTGGTTTGATGCAGGCTTCTTTCCATGCTTTGGGGAAGTATGATATTCTGAGGGATGCGTTGTAGATGTCTGTGAGTCTAGTTATGGCAGCGTCAGGAAGCTTGCGGAGTGCGGCGTTGCTGATGGAGTCTTTCCCTGGTGCTTTGCGGATCTTCGATGTTTTGAGGTAGCCTCTTATTTCTGTTTCGGTAACCGGGGCAACTGCAGCGGCTGGTGTTTTGTCGAGGTAGTGGGCAGTAGATGCCACTGCGCTGATGACATCATTGACGCTCCCGAGATGTGTGGTCATGTTGTGCACGCACGCGTATCTGTCTGCTAAGGCCTCGGCCTTTTGCAGTTCGGTGGAGGCTTTGGACCCATCTGGCTTGGTTAGTTCTGGTATCTCGAGATTTTGAGTTTTCAGGCTCTTGATACGCCTCCAGAGCTGTGTGTGGTTTGGTGATTTTTCATCTTCTTCTAGGAGTTTTTCCCATCTTTTGTTGCGGTGTTCGTTGAGTTGTTTTTGGAATAGCCGTTTTGTGCCCATGTAGGCTCGCTAAAGGAGGCGTGACCTGTGTTTCTGTTTCGAGAGGCGGTGCATCCGAAGTCTGGTGTCATGCACGTGCTGCGGAAGGGGGTCCAGTTTTGGTGGGGCGTGTCTGGGTTTCTGGCTGTTCTGCTTGATGGCGTCGGTGATGGTTGTTGTTAAGTTGTCAACTGCCTTATCGATTTGCTTCTTTGATATTAGCAGGTTCTCGTCCAGGTTCTCAGTAATATACTCTTGTACTTTTTCCCAGTTGATTTTGGCTGGTGGAGGTGGTGGTGGGGCAAGGTACTGTTGGTGCACTTTGATGGTGCATAGTATTGGTTTGTGGTCACTGCAGGTTCTTGCGAGCGTTGTTATGATGGGGTCTGCGATCAGCCCTAGTGTAAGGACAATGTCTAGATAGTTGCCCTGCCTAGTAGGTTTACAAGGTAGATGTACGCCAGACCACGTCTCGCGTAACAGGCTTCGCGATACCTCACGAAATAGTGTTGCGCTGCGACGCGCTTGGCATACATCTACCTTGGCCTGCGGCGCTGACACCCGAGTCAGGTAGTGCAAAAATGTGCACTAAGATACGGGCCTCCGGCCCGTCAATGCCCGTCACCTCGA